GAGAGCAACTAGGCAAATGCACATAATACAATTACTAGAGCTTGAAACTTGTGTGGGACACACCACCCGGCTGGGAAAACTTGAATTATAATTAATTGCTGGAGGCTGAGTATGAAGAAGTCTGAGGTTAAAAATTCTAAAATGACCCTGTCATAGGGAGGCTACCACACTTTTAGGGGTTTTTCTTCCAGGAGTTTGACATGGTTCTCACAGCAAATATCAGAGAAAAATCCCCTCATGACTCCAGAAAAGGGAAGATAAAAGGGGCCATTTTGAAATATACCAGAGCACTCTGTTCTTAATAAGGCCTGCCCTCAGGAGAAACTATTTAACCAGAGCCTAACCTCTTTGTAGTTTTAACAGAGCCTAACTTACCTTGGGGAAGAGAAATAACAAACTCCAGTCAATTCTAGCCTTCTGGGTGGTTAAAGGGAAATACCCAACTAAAGCTCCCTGTAGCCATCCTGTCCCACTCAAGTTAGCAAAACCAGAAAAAAACTGAGAAGCATTTGCGAAGTTAAAACCTAGGGGCACCAACTCGCTAAAACACTGAGGCCAAATCATAGGACACTTCCCCTCCCCACACACCTTACCATCACATTACTAAAGGTCTGTTCACCAGTTTCTTTTATCCAGTATATCACAATCAGCTTTCAAAAAATAAAAAGTACAAGGCAGGCATACTTTAAGGCAAAAAAAAGAAAACAGTTTGAAGAAATAGAGCAGGCTTCAGGACTAGACTCAAATATGGCAAGAATCGTGGAATTTCTAGACCGGGAATTTAAAACAACTATGATAAATAAGGTAAAGGCTCTAACTGAAAAAGTAGACATCATCCAAGAACAGATGGATAATGCAAACAGAGGGATAAAAATTCCAAGAATCAAAAAGAAATGCTACAGATCAAAAATACTCTAATAAATACTCTAATAGAAATGAAGAATGCCTTTAATGGGCTCATTAGTAGACTGGACTCAGCACAGAAATCTCTGAGCTTGAAGATGTGTCAACAGAAACTCTTAAAACTGAAAATAAAGAGAAAAAGGCTGGCAAAAATGGAACATAATTATTCACAAAAGAAGAAAAAAGAAGAAGGCGGCAGAGGCTGCAGTCAGCCAAGATCACACTGCTACACTCTGGCCTGGGCAACAGAGCAAGACTCCATCTCAAAAAAAAAAAAAAAATTGCATTATATCCAAGAATTGTGGGACAACTACAAAAGGTATGCCTTACACCCTTCACAAAATTTAACTCAAAACATATCACAAACCTAAATGTAAAACACAAAACTATAAAACTCCCAGAAAATAAAATAGAAAACCTAGATGACACTGGTTATGGCAATGATTTTTTAGATAAAACAATGGTACAATCCATGAAAGAAACAACTGATAAGCTTAACTTCATTAAAATAGAAAACATCTGCTCTGCAAAAGACAATGCCAAGAGAATAAGACAAGCCACAGAATGAAAGAAAATACAGTAGGCCCTCCATATCCGCAGGTTCCGCATCTGCAGACTCAACCAACAACAGATCAAAAATTTTAACAATAAAAATAATCAAACTTTAAAAACAATATAGTATAGCAACTATTTACACAGCACTTACATTGTATTCGGTATTATAAGGAATCTAGAGATGATTTAAATCAAGTACATAGAAGTGTGTAGATTATATGTAAATACTACACTATTGTATATAAAGGACTTCAGCATCCTCAGATTTTGTTATCAGGGGTCCTGGAACCAAGCCTCCATAATACCAAAGGATGCCTTTATTTGCAAAAGACATGTTCGATAAAGGCCTGTCATCCAAATATACAAAGAACTCTAAACTCAACAATAAGAAAACAAACAACCCAATTAAGAAATGGACTTTATAAAGACCTTTACAGAGACCTCATCAAAGATGATATACAGGCAGCAAACAAGTATATGAAAAGGTGTTCCACCTCATACATCATCAGGAAAATGCAAATTAAAGCAACAAGATACTACACACGTATTAGAAAGGCAAAATCCAGAACACTGACAACACCAAATGCTAGTTAGGATGTGGAGCAACAGAACCTTCATGTATTGCTGGAATGCAAAATGGCACAGCCTCTTTGGAAGAAAGTTTGGCAGTTTTTTTTACAAAACTAAATATACAAAATTAAATACACACCAAACTAAATATACTTTTACCACATGACCCAGCAATTGAGCTCCTAAGTATTTAGGCAAGGGAGTTGGGGACCAAAATAAAAGTCCTAAACCCTTCCAACAGACTACTGGACCCTCCTTTGGCTAAAAGATCCCAAAATTTTAAGTTAGCAGCCATGGCAAGACAGGAGGCTGTTCATGATCCATTTGCTTCCAACCCTTTCTAATAATCACTGGATGTTCTCAAAAGCCAGCGTGAGAAAACAAAAGTCCAAAAGACCCCTTCGTTCAAGTCATCTAAACACACCCCTCTCCTGTTTTTACAGTTTCAACATGACAACTATTTTAGGCCACAAAGATTTTCTTATTGATAAATGACTTTTGGAAAGGACTGGTTCTGGCCAGTCACCTGAGGATGCACAGTTTACGGACTTCTTCCCTACATTTCACCTTTTACATGTAGAACCTAATTACAATGCATTTAAATATAAAATCTCCACCCCAAAGTGATTATGGGAGGTATGTTACATATATGTGTAAACCTAAAACACACGTGTGTGGATCTCCTTCATGAATATTCATGGCTCCTTCTGTAACCTGTTGAATATAGCTGTATGCCTGGCCAATCATCAGCATAAATTCCTATCTTAAACCCTTACCCCACCCGACTCCACCCTGCCTGGAAATGCCTGTCTCTCAGCTTCTGCTGAGACTATGCCTCCCTGTCTGTCAGAATGGCCTATACAGGCTGCAAACCTTTGTGAGAAATGAAGCTCTCCTTTCCAAATCTATAAACCTCATCACTCTTCAGCTGACAGAGTTGAAAGCTGACGTCCACACAAAAACCTACACACAGCTGTTTACAGCAACATTCCTCATAATTGCCAAAACCTGGAAACAACCAAGATGTCCTTCAGTAGGTGAACGTTGATAAACTGTGGTACATCCAGACAATGGGATATTATTCAGCACTAAAAACAAATGAGCCATCAAGCCATGAAAAGACATGGAGAAACTTAAATGCATATTACTAAGTGAGTAAAGCCAAATCCACAGAACATACGACGACAAGAATCAACCCTAATGCAGGGGGTCCCCAAACCCCAGGCCACAAACCAGCATCAGTCAGTGGCCTGTTGGGAGCTCGGCTGCACAGCAGGAGGTGAGCGGCTGCAGGTGGGTGAGGGGAGCTGAGCACTACCTCCTGTCAGATCAACGGCGGCATTAAATTCTCATAGAAGCGAGAACCCTATGGTGAACTGCACATGCAAGGGATGTAGGTTGTGTGCTCCTTATGAGAATCTAACGATAAATATAATGCAGTGCACTTGAATCATCCCAAAACCATCCACCCCACTCCACCCCACCCCACCCCACCCTGGTCCATGGAAAAACTGTCTTCCACCAAACCAGACCCTGGTGCCAAAAAGGTTGGGGACTGATACCCTAATGCGTGAACAATGGGTGATAACAGTGTGTCCATGTAGATTCATCAATTGTAACAAACACACTATACTACTAGGAGATGATGATATTAGGAGGTTGTGCATGTGTGGGGACAAGAGATATATGGGAAATCTCTGTACCTCCCAATGAATTTTCCTGCTGCTCTAAAAAAGAAAGTCTATTGTTTAAAATGAGACATCACTACCACAAGGAGATACCATTATACTATCAAAATGGCTAAATTGTTTTACACCAAGTGGTAGCAAGGATAAAAAGAAAACTAGATCACTTATACATACATTGCTGATGGAAATGGTACAGTCACTCTAGAAAACTGTGTGACAGCTTCTTTAAAACCTAAATATGCAACTACTACACAATCCAGCAACTGCACTCCTGGGCATCTACTCACCCAAAGAAATGAAGACATATGTTCATACAAAAACCTATACCCACATGTTTATAGCAACTTTATTCATAATAGTCAAAAACTGAAAACATCCCAAATGTTTTTCAATAAGTAAATGGTTAAACAAAGCGTATTCTCTCCAATACCACCATTACTGAATGCTACTCATCAATAAAAAGGAATGGACTGTTGGCACATGTGACAACTGGATGAAAATCCAGAGAAGCCAATTTCAAAGGTTATATATTGTTATGATTTCATTTATAAAGTATTCTTGAAAAACAAAACTATAGAAATGAAGAGTAAGTGGCTTCTAAGAGTTAAGAGATAAAGGAGATGGGCAGAGAGAGAAGTGGGTGTGGGAAACATGAGGTATCTGGAAATGTTCTGAATCTCGGCTCTATCAATGTCAATACCTTGGTTACAACACAATTATTTCTTAAAACTGCATGTAAATCTATAATTATCTCAAAATAAGAAGTTTAGTTAAAAAGATGAAGGAAAAACTCTAATATGACTAGAGGGCCAATTTTTTTTTTTTTTTTTTTTTTTTGATGGAGTCTCACTCTGTGGCCCAGGCTGGAGTGCAGTGGCGCGATCTCAGCTCACTGCAAGCTCCGCCTCCCAGGTTCACGTCATTTTCCTGCCTCAGCCTCCTGAGTAGCTGGGACTACAGGCGCCTGCCACCACGCCCGGCTAAATTTTTTTTTTTTTTTTTTGTACTTTTAGTAGAGACAGGGTTTCACCATGTTAGACAGGATGGTCTCGATCTCCTCACCTCGTGATCCACCCGCCTCGGTCTCCCAAAGTGCTGGGATTATAGGCGTGAGCCAACTAGAGGGACAATTTTTTTTATTGGATATACAGTAACACTGAACATTATTAAATATTCAAACACTATAATTTTCAGTATGAAACAATAAAACATATCCCCTGAATATTCTTGTACCACAACCACTCTTCAAAGATTCACATATAAACAATAAGAATTTTAGCTCACCTTCCACGCTATCAGAACAGGAAGTTCCAATGCCAGTGTCTCCACTGTCAGAAGCTATACTGTGTCTCCTGATATGGTTATTTCGATGGTTAGATGGAATAGTTGTGGCCTGCCACAATGATTCATTACCAGGTAGCCATGCTGATGAATAATCTGGGCCTGAAAAGGGAAATATGTAACAGTTAACACATATATCTCAATAGGCAGAAGTTTTTTTTTTACCTTGTGGAAAATACACAAGGGTATAAAAGGTATAAAATGTTCTTTTCTGCCCAAAATAATTTAAAATGATCAACAAAATTAACCAAATAAATGTATATATCACACATATATCAATTAGTGTGATTACATAAGCTTTTTCTAGCTGAAGAACTCTGTTTTCTGCTTCTGGGCATTAAACTTTTAAAGATGTACTGCTGTGTTATTAAAAATGTTGAAACTATCCACTTATCTTCAAATGTCAGTACTCTGCTCTAGAATAATTGATAGGTAGGCATCTGTGATTCCACATATATGCATTAGCTGAGAATAATCAGGGCTCAGGAAAAATTCAATAATAATGCATGATAATATAAATAGGATATCCACATGGAATATGAAAACAATCCATTTTTTCTACTATCTATTAAATTTTTTCTACAATCACTTAAAATTTTTAATTATTTTACATTATTTTATTTGATTTCCTTAATTATTATTTAATAAGTTTAATAGCACAGCATTTTCCCACTCTTAGCTTGATTTGTCCTTTTAATTTAAATATTTTTTAGTTAATTTAAGGTTTTTCAATGTTCTTTCAATGTTTATTTTCACTTACCCATTTTTACTTAACTTTTATTTGACTTTTTCTGTTTTATCCATCACTTATTTTATTGTCTAGTACAGTGCTACTCAAAGGATATCCATGGACCAGTGCCAATCTGTACTATTTGTTACAAGTGAGATGCAGAAATAAATAAGCATCTAGAAATTGTTATTGTACTATAATTAGAAAGAGAAATTTTTAATTTGTTAAACTTTATATAAAACCTGTAGAAGCACAAATCTTTACTAATGCCTAACACAGTGAGTCTCAATTTGGAGCTTACAGAATTATTCATAAAAAGTTAAGAAGTTCCCCACATGAATTTTAGGCTTTCAGTTCAATGACAGTTCTTAAAAAATTAATAAGCACATTACAGATTATCTGAATAGCCACCTTAACACATTATTTCCACATAATTTCAATGCTCCTATATCTATATAGCAATCTTAAAAAGATTTATCACGTAATTCAATGTCCCCATCTGTGTTTTACGGTTGAAATAGCAGTTGCTTCTAAGTAAAGAGCAAATGACATCACTGGGTATTTACCATTATTTGAAACAAGATAGCTTTACAGAATTATTCCATGATACTCTATTGAAACTGGCATGCGAGGAATGCCTTCTGGCAGTTTAAACATAAGGGTAACAAAACAACAAACATGCATAAAATTAATTATACCAGTTTTTTTTAACCACACTTTGAGGAACAGTCGTTCTCTATGTTAATATTAAAATCAAAACATATTAACAAATTAATAAAACCAGACCTAAAGCTACTTCTGTCATACTAAGCTCAACATTAATGATTCATTTTTAATAAAACATTGTCACATTATTATTTTAAAGTTTTATTTAAATGCAATTTATCACTTAAATTTAGACGTATATACTTTACAGATGTATAAAGTACATAAGCAGTCTTAAAAGCCTTATACATGTAAATTAATAAATCAAAATTGAAAAATATTGTCCAAAGAGACACTTTTACCAGCTTTGAGGTCCAGAACAACCACTTAAAGCTTTGTAGATTCTACACTTCTCTCAGAATGAGACTTCAATTCAAGTGATTCGACACTCACATTAAAGCACCAGAAGAAGGCATTCTGTCACCAGATCTATTCTAATTCTGATCTGTGGTCTCTAATCTATACCAAAATGTTTTTTTCAATCAGGTAACATCCCATCTAAATGAGCTCAAAGTCCTACCTAAACCATTATCAAAAATGGCAACCAGCCTAGTCACACAAGTGCAAACCTATTAGCCGGATAATCTTTTTTTTTTAAGAATACCCACCAAATAGCATAAATAGGATGGGATTTTATGTAAATGAAAAATAAATATAAGAAAATATACCAAATCTCACTAATAGTGGGAGAAGCGAAAAAGACAATAAATTTTCTGGATTTTTAAAACTATCAAGTTGACAAATGAAAGACTGGTGTCAACCAAGTGAGGGGAATGTTCATATATTTTTGTGGCCTTGCAAGTTGGTACAACCTTTCTAAAGGACAAACTGGAAAGTGGTATCTAAATTTCAAGATAGACATGACCTTCTACTGAGAATTTATCCTAAGGGAGTATCAGACAAGTACAAATAAACATGAATATAAGGACATTCCTGACAGCACTGCTTAAAGTAAGTAAATGCCTATGAACAAAATATATACTGTAAATTAGTTGATAATGTTTAAGTGCTAAAAATGATTTTATCAACCTATTTTTTAACATGGAAGAACGTCCAAAATACATTAAGTGTGTATGGAAGAGAAGCATTTTACGTAGCTATATAAATAATATGATTCCACAGCTGGAGAAGAGTTTGTACATTTACATACATGGAAGAAGCTTTCAGGAGCTCTGTATCTAAATGCTAACACTGACTATGTTTTACTAAAGGAAGAAATACATTACAGGAATATTTACTCCATCTTTGGTTACTATTATTATTCATTCTACCAGTTTATGTGGGGAAAGGCTGAAAATTACATATACTGATTTGCAGATTATATCAACATTTGATTCTGAGATTAGAAACCAGCTATAGATCAAGATACATAAATTCAGATTCCTAGTAACAATTTTTACAAAAGCTGCATAAAATGGCTAAAATTAAAACTCTCGCTTTTAGGCAATATAACTATTTTGAGCAGTATAAAGTCACGCTCCATTAAAGCCCACAACACACCTCTACCCTATTTATTGTTGACAAATCTTGGCCAATAAGCAATCTGTAGATTAAAAGGAAATAATCATTCTCTCACTCTGTCTCCACTCACTCACTCCAGTAATGGGGAGGAAAGCCCCACTGTATATACTAATGCTATGGTGTTATTATCACAAGTTAGGACAACCTTCAATCATTAGTCTTGTATAATGAACTATTGCCAGAAAAACAGTTCAACAAAACCCTTTTCTGTCAAGAGCCAGATAGTAAATATTTTCAGTTTTGTAGGTTACTCAATCTCAGTCTCAACTAGCCAATTCTGCCACTGTAGTCTAAATCAGCTGTAGACAATAAAATGGATGTGGCTATGTTGTAATAAAACTTTACTTACAAAAACAGGTGACAAGTCAGATGTAACCTGGGGACCAGTTTGCAGACTCCTGAGATGTAGGGTAAAAAATCATTCTAACTGATAATATTCCCTAAAATTCAACTGATTCATAAGTAACTCCAGCCATCCTTTATTTGGAAGAAAAGTAAGCTTATCCTAGACGACATATCAGCAAGCCAGGCTGCTCAGAATCTGACAATTCATGAAAGCACTACTGAGATTTTTGAAGGATTACAAAGACAAATAAATGTCAACAAGTGTTTTAGGTTTCTTTTTCCAGAATAAGTGATCTCAGTTTATCCATATGGTATGGAACTCTTGGACAATGTCGAATACGTGTGATGGTTAATTTTATATGACAACTTGACTGGACCTTGGGGTGCCCAGATATGCAGTCAAACATTACTTCCGTGAAGGTGTCTGGATGAGCTCAATATTCAAATTGGTCGACTGGATAAGGCAGACTGCCCTGCATAATGTGGGTGGGCTTCACTGAATCAACTGAAGGCTGGACCAGAACAAAAAAGCTAACCATCCCCTAAGCAAAAGAGAATTCTTCTTGCCTGATCCCCTTTGACTAAAACACTGGCTTTTTCCTACCTTCAACCTTGAACTGATCTCTTCCTGGGGCTTGAGCCTACCAACCTTCAGACTGGAACTATGCTATCAACAATCCCAGGTCTCCAGCTCGCCAAATCACCTCACAGATCTTGGGACTTCTCAGCCACCATCATCTCATGAGCCAATTCTTAATTAATTAATTAATTAATTAAATCCTATTGGCTCTGTTTCTCTGGACAACTTGAATACAATATTGAGAAAACTAGAAAAAATCTAATTTTGTCTACAGATGTGAAAGTGGGGACAGTCTTCTATTTAGAAAAGAACAATAGTTGTAATCTTCAATTTCCATCACAGTATCTCAGTATCATCTACTCAATAAGATACCTATTCCACAGATTTCCAAAGCACATCAGTGCAATCTCAACTATCTGTTATCTAGCTCTTACACAAAAAAAGCTATGAGAAATGACAGGGAAAATGGTCTAAGACATGCTATCATTCCACCCCTCTAGAAACTCTAAATTCTATCTTTGAATCACAGAACAGTACACACTTAGAGCCTTTTCATTTAGCAACTCAGGGAAATGGTCTTCCTAGAATTTCCTTCAGTGTACTGCCACCTTATAAACTTGAACCTCAGATTTTTACAGAAGGACACAAAAAGTAAGCAACCACATAAATCATCAAATTGTTGTCTAGGCCGGGCAGGGTGGCTCACACCTGTAATCCTAGCACTTTGGGAGGCCAATGCAGGCAAACAGCTTGAGTTCAAGAGTTTAAGACCAGCCTAGGAAACATGGCAAAAGTCCATCTCTACAAAAGAAAAAATATACATACAAAAAAATGTTTGCCTGTGTGCATGGTGGCACACGCCTGCAGTCTCAGCTACTTGGGAGGCTAAGCTACTTGCACCTGGGAGGTTGAGGCTGTAGTAAGCCGAGATCATGCCACCACACTCCAGCCTGGGTAATAAAGCAAGACTCTGTCTCAAAAAAAAAAAAAAAAAAAAAGGTTGTCTATATATTTAAAAAATTAAAGGTAAACACTAAAAATATTTGCAGATATGGTACTAATGCAAAATTATAAAGAGATCATAAGCAAACTAAAAAATAAATAAATAAATACTAAATGAGTTTAGTCTAAACGGACAAAGGACAAACCCCAAAGGGAAAAACACAAATAAATAAAAACCTCTGAAAAATAATCCAAGCCCACCGGTAAACAAGTAGTATC